GGGTTCAAGCAGATGCCCCACGACCTAGGGATGTACCGCCGCGATTTCCGCGGGGAATACATCCTCCTCACGGTCTACGTCGACGACTTGCTCTACACGGGCTCAAACAACGAGCTGCTCGAACAGTTCGAGAAGGCTCTGGCGGGGCACGCCGACATCACGTGCAACTACGAGGTGAAGCAGTTCCTAGGCCTCAACATCTCCTACGCGCCTGAAGCCATTCATCTGTCAGCAGCTAAGTACGCAGAGGAGTTAGGGAAGCGGTTCAAGATTTCACCCGCACCTCTCTCGACTCCCTACCGAACCCCCGGACCGAACCACAAACCTGACAACAAAGCCCTATCCCCTGCTGGAATTCAGACTTACCAGCAGCAGCTGGGATGCCTCCTCTTCGCCTCTGTCACCTGCAGGCCAGACCTCTCCTACATCGCAAGTCAGCTTGCCCAGCACTCACGGAAACCAACGGCTGAAAATCACCTGGACCTGCAGCGCGCTTTGCAATTTTTCGTCTCAACGCCCAAGATTGGGCTGTGCTACTCAACTGCACCAACCCCATCCTTCAATCTCGTCGGCTATGTGGATGCCGATCATGCAGCAGATCCTGACAATCGACGGTCCAGGACCGGCTTCCTGTTCCGACTCGAACCAACGGGGCCAATCTCCTGGAACTCACAGAAGCAGGAGCTGGTTGCCCTGTCGTCAGCCGAAGCAGAATTCATCGCAGCAACCACAGCAGTTCGCGAAGGCGAAAATTCCAGCTTCGCCAACTTTTCGACTTCACTGCGACAACCAGAGCGCGATTCGCATCGCGAACAAACCTGGTTTCGTCAATCGCACCAAGCACATTGCGCTGCGATATTTCTTCGTGAAGGACGAAGTGGACAAGGGCAAGGTCAACTTGACCTATTGCCCGACCGGTGACATGGCAGCGGACTTCCTCACGAAGCGACTGCCACGCCAGCAGTATCAGCACTGCTCCGAACTCAGCGGCGTGGTCAAGCAGGTCAAATCGAGCTACGGCCAGGAGTGAAGGGGGGTGTTACGAATAGTAACATTTAATTGTTACTGAGCACTCCTCACCGCAGCAAAGAGAAGCACGCAGTATCGAAGCAAGAAAGCGAACCGTCAGACGGTTGGAGTTTGACTCAAGTGTCAGACAGTTGGGGCGCATCTGGACCGTCGGAAGCAGACGGCATCGGACAGCTGCAGGCAGGATGTTTTTGGCGGGAACAGTTACGAAACTGTACGCGCCGCACGGTTGAGAATGCGTTTGAATAAGGGAATGTACCCCTTAGAGTACATGGCTAGCTAGGTCGTTTCGTCTTCCCTGTACTCATATTTATACTTGCTGTATTTGCATGTTTTAATCATCTCAAGCATTTTACATTCACTTTGCTATTGAGGTCACGGGCCCACCAACTACATTTCCCTGTGTGCGAACCTTCCCGAGTAGATCCTGGTAAGCGATCATTCTCTGATCGTAGCATTATGTACGGGTAATATTGCAGTTTTTGCCAAAACAGCACTGGGTTTCGAATGATTAACCAGCGAGGCAGCTGAGGCTGTTGTGGGCGCTCCGCCTTTGTGATTGCATGAACCCTCGTCGAGCGACGAGGGGGTGTGTTTTCGACCAATCAGGGCCTGACAGTGGGCCTTGTTGGAGCTTGCAATGTGGCAGCTAACCCTCGACAGTAACGTTATCGCCCAGTCCTCGGTTTTGCGCACCCAACCAACAATCTACCACCACGTGAAACATGTACATTTTGTTCTCAACCTTTTATGCTATAAAAAAAATATACATTATGTAAAGACCCGGGTGCAATGTAGCTTTTTCCGATGACAACACCCCCCCCTTTTTTTTGTGTAGTTATCATAGCACCCTAGGGTGGTATGTCCGGGGGAATACGGTACTAGGGTCACTTGAACATGAGTGTTGCGTGCACAATCCTTGTTTGATTATAAGGGTTTCAGAATGGTGCTTGATGTCTCCCTCCCAAGCACATCCAGACAGACACCGCCACCCAATGCACCAAGATCGCCGCCCAGGCAGACCCAGATCTCCGATACACAACAAGACACGCCGTCCCAAGCACGACACAGCAGAGCAGAAACCCCGGGTGCGAAAATAACCTTAAAGCCGCGGGACGCCCCATCCACGCTGAAATGGGATGCCCTAACACGTATAAGGCTGTTGACAAAACACCGTAAAACACTTTCGGGTCCGCGAGCCAATCCCGAGGCAGCGCGAAGGAGCGCAGAAACGGGAAGGAGGAGACGAAAGGAGCGAGGAGGGAGGATGTGTGAGAGAGGAGGGAAGTGATGCGAGTGTGGAGCCAGGCGGGGAGATTAGAAGGGGGCTCGGCAGGATGGGGGTTGAGGAGAACCCTCCAAAAGAGCTCTTCCCAGAAGGAGGGGAAGACAAAGACAAAGAGGATTAGGGAGATGGGGATGCCGGCTTGGGGGAGGTAGAAGGCGTCAGCCCAGGAGGCAAAGAGGTACATGAGAGGCGAGATGGTGATGATGGTGAGGAGCGTGAATCGCAGGTCGGAGGGCGCAGGGAGGGTTGTGAGGGCGCGGGATAGGCGGAGGAGGAGGAGGGAGAGGAGGGAGAGGGGAGGGGTGGGGTGAGGGGAGGGGGAGGCATTGGTGGTGCCTGGAGGTGGGTTTGGAAGGTAGGCAGGGAAAATAAGAAGGGAAGGTGGGATTTACTCAGTAACAGCTGAAACTCAGAGGACGAGGGTTGAGGGAGAATCAAGATGATGAAGCTTCATCCAGAGGGGTCAATGCGTGGACGATACACGAACAGCAATCTATCGAGTACTGCAAGCAAGATATAAAATTTAACATGCATGTGTCCATGTGTCTCTCATACAGATAATCGAGTGTAAGCATATGAGGCCTGGTGAGTGGATCATGGTTCCACTGGTCATCAGTGAGATGACACCTCAGGGTACGCTGCATGTTTATGTAAGTTGACATGTGAATTCAATGTGACATTCGTAATTCAAGGTGACATGACCCCACATGAAAGTTTCTGAAGAAGGCTGTCAAAGCAACAGAGGGTCGAGAGGAGCTGCTAAGAGAGAGAGAGAGGTAAAGGGGTTGAGAAAGGGACGGGCATCGGTACTGACCGAAGCTGCTGCTGCTGTTGCTGCTGCTGCTGCTACCGTTATGAGCGCCATTCGCGTCCATCCCCTCTAAAAGCGGCCCCGCTTCTGCTTCTGTGCCCTGAGATAACGAATCTGCCACGTCGCCGGCCGTCTGGTTTGCCTCTCCGTTTCTGACCTCCTCCTCCCTAGGCTCGCCGTCAGGTCTGAGCTCTTGCCGCTGCGGTTGGCCGTCCATTTGACCGGCTAGCCGCTTATGCGTGTGCTGTGACGTGACACGATGGGGAATTCGGCCCAATCCCAAATTGCCAGCTGGCGACGCGGTCCCGAGAAGAAATTCTGGATGATATCGGTTTGGATGGATAGGGAAAGGTTCAGAACGGCTGAAGCTGAACCTGTAGGCGAAGATGTTGGAAAATCCGCGAAAAGAGGAGGATACGGGATTGAGCGAGAACGCGCGGACGGTCGTATTTCCTGTGCGTGCGTGCGACGGGTCTTGAGTCGACTCAAAAAATGTATCCCTTACGCGTGTGTGCGACGGGACCACGGTCCGAGACCTCGCTTGTGCGAGCGACGGAGATCTCGCTTTTGCGTGTGCGTGCGACGGGATCGCGTTCGCAGATCTACTTGCAGTTGCGTGGTAGTAACTCCGCGACGTGCTTGCAGCTCGGAATGTGCTTCTGGCCGTCAACGTGTCCGTCGCGGAAGGTTTTTGGTGGTTTCGGGTGGGTTGAGACGGCAATGAAGTTGTCGGATTACGGAAGAATCTCGTGCATTGCTGCGGAGCGCCGGTATCCGCGAAGCGAGGCGGTCGCAGGCGGTGCAAGCAAATGGCTCGCATTACCCTTGTGTGCCGTGACTAGGAGGCTCACCCCGGCAGTGAAGCACTGGGAGACCAATGGTTGTGTTATACTTCGCAAGAAAAAGTATCTGCACAAATCTCCACTTCACTCTATCCACTTCTGGAGGAGGCTCTGAAATGGACTCGCTAGGATCACACGCGATAGAATCACGGTGCTGGATAAAAACAATCAGGAAAAGTCCAGATTTGGTACGTCAAATGTCAATCAAACAGGGGGTATCCAACTTCTACGTCTCTTTGCGGTCGAACTGGTTGTGTTACGGTTCAGAAAGGTGCTGCGCAAATATCGCTCTGGAACGTATGGAACTGTCCTGAGCCATGAATAACGAGCTGTAAACTTGCGAGCTGCACACCCCTAAACGGGGATACGTAGGTGATTGTACCCTTCACTCTTCAACATACCTCATTACCCTGCCACGTGGCCTCGTCTTTCCCTCGATTCCTCCGCATCTCGCGCATTCCTCCATGCATACGAGCCGTTTCCTCCCTCATTGCGCAGCCCTCCCCGCGCAGCCCTCCTGCCGCAGTCCTCCCCGCATCCATGCCTCCGCGCTGCTTCTTCCGCCGCCCAGTCCCTCGAGCATTCCGACTAGCAGTAGTAGGTCGCGCGCAATTTGTGGCGGAACCATGATGGAGAGTGAGGGTTAGCGTGATGGGGGAAAGAAAGAACGAGCGAAGGGGGTGTGGGGGAGGAGAAGGGGGGAGAACGCGCCGTAGCTCCATCCGAGCCACATGGCTCGCAACAGATTCCAACCTTCCGCAGAGTCGCTGCGCCAGTTCGGGCCTTGACGCGCGCGCACGTGCGCTTTGCGCGCACAGAGCGCTTTGCGCGCTAGCAACAGCAGGTTTCCGCAGGTCTTCTAGATTTAGACTTGCCAGTCAGATAGCTGGTAAGGGGGATGCGTTACCAAACCGGAGCACAACAATCGGGACGCCAACGGCCTCGTTCCCAAATCTGTTGCTGTCCCTTCCTGAGTTTCTATCTTGGTGTTGTAATTTCTCTTCACATCTTTTCTTTCTGAGTCGCGCCTATGGCGTCGATGGCGAGGCTGCTGGTGACGGCGATTGCGCTGCTCGCAGCTGTCACGGCGGCTTCCGCGTATGCTCGGTACACGGACGACTACAATGATTACCAAGTGCGTGTAGCTAAGGTTCCCTCATATCGATATTTTTGGCTGCTCGCTTGTTTTGAAGCTCCTGTTCTTGCCTATCAACTGCCTGCCAGCCTGTCAATTTCCATCCGCTCTTACCTTGTAACAACATCCGGCGTTGGTTGGTACGAGCGATGGCCGAGGAGTCCGTCCCGTTATCATGTCACCACCAGCCCGACCGATTCTTTTCCTCTTTTGTTTCAGAGGTATGGACGAGCGTGGAGCAACCAAGCGAAGGCGGAAGAGGCCAGAGTGACACAGCAGCACGTAAGGGCAAGGGGCATTGAAGCGGATCAGCACAGTAGATGCTGTTCGGTTGTCCCTTCAGGGTTAGGAGACAAGTGGAAAGGAGCTAATCCGAAAGCATTCTCATTCTACTACTTTACACGTGTCATTGGGTTACATGGTCTCAATCAGCCTTCGTTTTGGACTTTCTCTGTATGCACTCCCATTGAATTGATGATGACTCTTCATCCAGAATACAGTCAAGGGGGAGGGAGCTGTGCCGCCCTATTTGGCATCAATGATCTCCGTGTATCTCACACGTCAGCCTGCTGCTCTGAGAGAGCTCATGCCATCAGCCGTCAACACTTACATCGCCGTGAGTCCATTTATGCAGCTGAGGCATTTTTATTGTCCTTTTTTTTCTTTATTTCTTGTAAATGTAAGTGTCAGTTCAGTGTCTACTTCTGCTGTGTAAGTGTTGGCGGCTGATGGCATGAGCTTTTGAGCTCACGGATTCCAACACCGCTTTCTTTTCTAGTTTATCCGTCCCACCTCCTCATGTTGTCGCCTCTCATGTTGTGGCCTATGCAACCCCTTTCTCCTCCCTTGGCTCCTACCCTCTTCAGCTCATCCATGTGTATCTCGCATGGAGCACCTTGGTTCTTATCCTCTGGTCACTGGGCCTATCCCAAGCACGCATCATGCACTGCGTGCACCAGCAGCTACTGGCAACCAGAACCACCCTCTTAGGGCTGGAGAAACACACCCTTGGTTTCACTGTGAGTTGAATGGCCGATTCCCATTGGCCCCTCTTCCCTCTTTCACAGCACTCCTCTCTCGTCCCTTTCCCACTGACAAACCGTCCTTTCCACATCACATGTATCTAGCATGGGGCACCTTGGCTGGTTCCTATCCTCTGATTGCTGGTTGTGCGTGTTCCAGGCACACATTTTGCACTGCCTGCATCAGCGTATACTGGCCACCAGGGCAATCTTGCTCAAGCTGATGAATTACGCCCTGGAATTCATGGTAAATCGAAATCTACAATTTCCCCTCAAAATGTGTGTTGCGTCTTTTTGACAAGTTCATGGTAAAACCAGCTCATGCTATGTTGCAGGCCACTCGAGGTACCTCCTTCTGCCAAGCTACCAGGTACTTAGTCACATCTTCCTTTCGTCATTTGTGGATAAGTTTGGGCAAGTAGTTATTGGCAATTTTATCTATATTTCTTGCCACATACTAATCACTAGTGCCACGATGTAGAGTTACCTGCCAGTTTTCCAGGCTCCATAATTGGCTTCACTTGCTTCTTGCTTCTGCCATAACAAATTGTTGCTGTCTTCGTTTCAGCTTCTTGGAGTGTGATAATTGAATCCCCTCCCTGGCAGGCATGTGTTTGCTGCTAAGCCTGTCACGGAAAACTCAACAACAGGAAACGCAGAGCTCCATGGCTTGTCCTGTCAGATTGACAATCTGACGGCTGAGATGAACTCGAAGATGAACAGCATGATGCTGCTGCTGCAGGCGGTAAAGCGGGAGGTGGAGGCAGGTAGGCAGGTATCGCAGAGTGAGCTAAACCAGGGGAGAGAGTTCAACACTGGGCTGGATGGGGTGGGTGATTCCAGCATGGAGGAGAGGCAGGTGCAGGCAGAGGCACAGGAGGAAGAGGGGCATCCGCCGCAAGGGTTATCTGAGTCAGGGAGCCGTTTGCTTGAAGAGATGTTGGAGGAATGCAGGATGCAGATGAGAAAGATCATGTATTTGAGAGAAATGAGGGTGCTGGTGGAATTGGAGGAGTTGGAAGAGGTGGAAGCAGGTGAAGCAGGGGTAGCAGCTGATGCGTGTTCGACAGGTGAGGGGAGTGAGCCTTGGGATGAGCAGGAATTGGAGACGTGGATTCAGTTTTTGGAAAGGGTTTTGAGGGAGAACAGAGGGGTGCATGAGGAGGGATCTGAGAGAATGGTAAGCACAGATGGTGTTGGTGCAAGGGATGATGAGGCAGGGATGCCTGATGGGGTGGCTCGGTCAGAGGAGGAAGGAGATGGGGCTATGAGGGTGGATAGGGAAGAGAAGGCTGACACGGGAGGACGTTCGGGTGATATCAAGGCTGATGTTGCTGGTCTCGGGAATGAGGTGGAGAGGATGAAGGGTGACGTGGAGAGGTTGAGGAATGATGTGGCAGGAAGGGCGAAAGTAGAGGAGGAGAGGGAAAAGGAAGAAGGTCTGACGTGCGCCAGTAGTGATGTAAGGAAATGCCTGGACGAGTTGAGGGCTGAGATGAAGGCAGAGGTGGCTGTGCTGGTGGAGGATCGCGAGAGGAGGATTTCAGACAAGTTGGATGAGTTGAGGCGTGAGGTGGAAGAGGGAAGGGCGGAGGATATGAGGATGTTCCTGGACGAGCTGAGGGCTGAGATCAAGGCAGAAGTGGCTGTGCTGGTGGAGCAGAGGGAGAGTAGGATTTTCGGCAAGTTGGATGAGTTGAGGCGTGAGGTGGAGGAGGGAAGGGCGGAAGAGGCAGGGAGGATGAGGGAGTTGAGTGAGAAGGCGGAGAAGGGGAAGGCAGAGGTTGCGGGGCGGTTGAGTGAGTTTCAGCAACGTCTGGATGAGGAGAAGATAGATGCAGCCAACCATGCAGTCAGTGCATTGGAGGATCGGGAGAGGATCGTTGGATTGAGCACTCGGCTGGAGAGCTTCCAGGAAGATACCACAAGGATTGACCATGAAATTCAAGCACTGTGGGAAGTACGTATCTGTTTGACACTTCCAGCATTACCTGTTTCATTTCTACTGTACTTTCAGCAGTATCGCCTTTCATGGGCACTCCCATCCCGATGTGTTTCACTTCACGATGCATCGCGTGTGCTTGCCTGCTCTGACTGACACTCACACTTGGCTCCCCTTTGAGCATTGTATGCGTGGTGCGATGTGAACATGCACACCATCTGTGCGCTATCCTGAAGTTTGCAGTACACGGTTTCTGTTTTTTTCCATCTGCAGGCATTTCGCAGTGTTGGGTTGTGAGTCTGAGAAACTTGCTGTATTCCTCCAAGTGGCACCTCGTGCGCAAAAGCTTCCTATGGCCAAGACCAGTTGTGTGACTTGCATTCACACACTTGACGTGGTTTGTCAGTAATGTTTGGAGTTGTGGAGCGTGGCTGCAGGGGCATGCTGTGTATTGAGGCATCAAAATGGTTTCCCTGTTTGCTCAAACACTGCTAGGGCCATGATCAACCCAATAGTGGCGTTAGCATGCATGTGAATTTGTATGGTATGGAATCGTTCGGATACGCGAATTACTACGGTAGGTCTCTGACAGGTTGATTGTATTGACTATTGTTTCTGAAATATGTGATGGAGTACAACAAAGAATTGAGATTGTGGGAGTGGACTCTTCCATAGGATTCTCGAGATTGTTGTACACAATATGGATTCCCGTGCATGGTGTAAGTACAAGCATTGTTTGTTGGTGATGTTGCATCAGTGGAGAAGCTAATTGGAAAACCTTTTGTGCAATATGCTACGAATTCTTCCAAAATGACGTGACATTATCGTCATTGTAGTATACAGCATATTCAGACTTCAGGAGTTCATATAAGAACCATGTTTGCAGCAGGAAATATGTTTGAGAGGGTTTCCTTTAATCGAGTCATTTAGGAATAAATCCATCTCGAACAGAAACGTACCCACATCGCATCGCACCCTTCGTAGAACCGATCTATCTCGCGCACCCTCCATGCACGCGAGCAGTTCCGCCCTTCTCGAGCCGCAGCAGTCCTCTCCGCAGCCCCCAGATCCCTAGGGCTTCGGTCCTCCCCGCAAGCATGCCTCCTCGCTGCTTTCTTCCGCCAGCCACCGACCCGCGCGTGCCTGCTCGCAGTAACAGGTCGCGTGCAGTTTGGCACGACAGAGCCGGGATAGTGAGGGTTAGCTCGAGGGGGGAAATGAAGATACGAAGGCGATGTGGGGGAAGGGGGAGCGGAGGAGTGAGAGGGTGAGAGCGCGCCGTAGGCTCAGAAGCCGCGGCTCGCATCGGAACTCGCCCTTCCGCAGATTCGCCGCGCCAACGTGGGCCTTCGCGCACACGTGCGCTTTGTGCAATAGCAGCAGCAGGCTTCCGGAGGAGCAAATGCGGACGCGCTAGTCGGCTTGCCGGTAAGGAGGGTGCAAGTAATTTCCAGAGCATAACAATCAGAACGACAACGGCCTCCTCAAGTCACTTCTTTGCATCTCTCTCTCCGCATCTCTCGCTGGATCTGTTCCGTGTTGAGTTTCTGTTGAGGCGTTGCGAATTCTCTTCACATCTTCCAAAGGCTTTTGAGTCGCGGCTATATCATGGCGAGGCTCGCGAGACTGCTGGTGACGACGATTGTGCTGCTTGCAGCTGCCACGGCGGCTTCCGCGTGTGGTAGCAGCGACGACTACAGTGACGGTTGCGAAGTGCGTTCAGCAATTAGGTTCTCTCACATCGATTTTATTCCTGTCCACCTCGTTCCTGTTTGAAGTTCCTTCTTCACCCATAAACTGCCAACCTGTCGGTTTCCTTTGACAGAGAGTAACCCAGCGGCAGGTAAAAGCAAGGCCTTGGAGCCGAGCGGCACTGTAGATATGTCAGGGGTTCGGGGTTAGGAGACAAGCAGAAGGAAAATATTTTTTGAGACTACTAGTCTCTGCAGCTCAATTTGATTACTGTTAACTGCTATTACACTTCACGTGATACTGGGTCCCACGTTCTTGACTCTCTGTGTGCTCTGCTTGCTACATTTTTTACTCATTTGAGATGTCTCAAAACCCTCCTTTTCACCTTTGATTTTACTGCATGATGACTCTTCGTCCAGGCAAATGCAACAGATGAAGAGGAGGCATCTACGCTGTCCATTTTACCGTCCAGGATCTTATCGCATCTCACACATCTGTCTGCCACCTTTAGTGAGCTCATCCCTTCGATCGTCAACACTTACATCGTGGTGAGTTCTTGACTCTTTGTTGACGACTTGACCCTTTTGAGACGTCCCAGAACCCTTTTTGGAGCCCCTGTGCAAACCCTAAACCCTTTTTTTAATTAATTACTATTCTTGAAGTAGTTGTATTTCTTGTTACGACGGCTTCATCCAGAATATTACAGGTTTAGGACATGAGGCAGCTGCTACAGATGCATCTGTGCTTTCCGATCTACCGTCTAGGATCTTGTCGTATCTCACACATCTGCCTGCCGCTCTTATGGTAAGCTTCCATTCATGTAGAGTCACGTTAATTGTATGCTGTTATCCGGTATTGGAGCCGAGTGGCAGAGCAAATGCTGTTTGAGAAAAAACGGAACGAAGCTTATCCAGGAATTTACTAGTCTATGTGGCTCAGTTTGAGTAGTTTTATACACCACGTGATAGTACTGGTTTTTTGGCCCAATTAGTCGGTCGTCCTGGGCTCTGTGTTAGCAACTGCACCCTTTTGAGACATTTCAAATTCCATTTTGGAGCCGATGAGCACTAATGTATATCTTGTTAGAATAAAAATTTCTTGTTTTGTTATGGTGACGCTAACCAGGCTATCACAGGTTTAGGACATGAGGCAGCTGCTACAGATAAGGGGGGAGCATCTGCACTGTTCAATCGGCTGTCCAGCATGTTATCGTATCTGAAGCATCTGCGTGCCGCCCTTGGCGAGCTCATGCCGTCGGTTGCGAACGCTTACTTTGTGGTAAGAATTTATTTATGTAATGTTTGTCTTGTGAAATTAATGCATTACATTCTATTTAATGTCCGATTACCATTTCCAAATCTAATGTCCAACTTCAAGACTGAAGGACTTGTCAGATTTGGAAGTTGCATTGATCTTTCCATCCAATATTTTCTCCTTCCACCTCCCCGTGCTGTCTTTTTCAAACCCTTCCCCTCTTTCCCACCTGATGACCCATCAGCTCATCCACGTGTATCTCGCATGGAGCACCGTGATTGTTGCTCTCTGGTCTCTGGGCGTGTCCCAGACACACATTAGGCACTGCTTGCACCAGCAGCTACAGGTAGCCAAGACCACCTTCCTCAAGCAGAAGGAAACCACTCTTGGTTTTATGGTAAGGCTAGATGATATATTCCCTCTGGTCCCTTTTCCCTCATTCGCTTGGCTCCTCTCTCGTTCATTTTCCCCTGACAACCTTTCAGCTAATCCATGTATATCTGATTGTTGCTTTCTGATCACTGGCGTGTTTCAGGAACACATCATGCGCTGCTTGCAACAGTATTTACTGGCAGCCAGGTCCGCCCTTTTCAAGCTGAAGAAACGCAACCTTGATTTCGTAGTAAGCTTGGAATACAAACTGGCATGTCTTCTAGTAGAAATATGTCGTTTTGTATCCATATCTGTCGTGCATAGCTTACTTTTGCTCTTGCTGTGTTGCAGGTCTCTCAATGCACTGCCATTTGCCAAGCTGTCAGGAACTGTGTCATGCATGCCTTGCTGCCTGCTGAGGAGCTGAAGCGGCTGAAAGGAGAGTTGGAGGCGAAAAAAGCTCTGCGTGATTTGGAAGAAAAGAAGCAGGAGGAGGACCACAGTGGCAGTAGCAGCCTAAGGAAACGTGGGGAAGTGCTGAGAGCTGAGATTAGGGCAGGGATGGCAGTGTTGGCAGAGCAGAGGGAGAAGATTCTGGTCAAGCTGGATGAATTGAGGGGTGAGATGGAGGAGCGGAGGCGCGAGGTGAAAGAGGGAAGGGCGGAAGTGGCAGGGAGGATGAAGGAGTTGAGGGAGGAGGTGGAAGCGGGAAAGGCAGAGGTGGCAGGCACGCGTGCAGTTTGTGCGTTGGATGATCAGGACAGGGTGGCTGGGTTGACCAGTCGACTGGAAAGCTTCCAAGAAGTTACCGCACGGATTGAGGGGGAAATCAAAGCTCTGTGGGAGGTGAGTATACTGAGTTTTGGCACATCTAAGCGAAAATAACGCGCTCTGCTTCATGTGCAATTTTGGCAGTATGCCTTTCATGTGCATTTCATCCCGCATTTCAATTATCCAAATGCACCATGCATACCAGCTTCAATACTTGCAGGGCCTGGCCCCTGGTCGTGCTATCAATTCCAGCAAATGGGGTCAATCTGAACCATGAGTTTCTACCCCCCCTTGCAGGCATTCCACCATGTGGGGCTGGAATCTCTTGATAACCCTGCTGTTGCATGAGACCAGGGTTGTGTTTTATTGTGGGCTGCTGGAGCTCCATGTGGGAAACTTCTTGGCTGTAACTTTTTGCGTTTGACTTGGTTTAGAGTGGCAGAGCAAATTGTGCAGCAGTCGAAATGATGTCATATCACTGTTGCCCCTGCAATAATCTGCACTAGAACCCTAGGTTCTGGCCTCTGCACAGTCGTCTTGCTGAATCCCTGTCCTATACACAAAAAAATCTCATTAGCATTACCCTTCCTTAGCTTGTGCTGTTGCCAGCTGCTTGTGCACCTTTGTTCTCTTGAATTTGGTGAGGCCCTGGCCTGGTATCTAAAATGTTGATAAGACCACTGTCCACTGTCCACTAATACCGTCTATGAAAAATAAGCCTACAAATACACTACAACCAGGCCTTCAGATTGGTTTTGGCCGACCCTGGTTAATATAATCAGTATACGAGGTATAGTGAACCCTAATGGCTAGTGTAAATATTCTTTTTCCCTGACTTATGCAGCGTAAAATTTCCAATACACTGAATCAGTCAGTACAAAAATGTCTCTACACTGAATTTAGCAGCGGAAACTTCCACATACTATGATTCCAGTCTAAATCACTAGTACAATCAATCTGCGTGGCGCTAAAGGTACAGATGGCCAAATACCAGGCTAGCAGACCTACCATAGGCATTCCCGTAACAGGGTCAGATCCCTAAGTGTCGCCATTGTCAAAAAGAGCCTCTCCTGGGTTGGTGCCATTGAAGTCCTTTGTCGAGCGCCGCAGTTTCTCTCCCCTGAAGATCGACACCACCTCGTACCAGTCCATGTCGTACTGGAGCAGTGAGCATCTCATCAAATGCTCTAGGGTCGTGTCAGAGAGGCAGCCACGCTCCCACGTCTTGATGAGATTCTGCTTGCTGAATCCTCTCTCGCACTCCACCGTGCTCAGTGGTAGCACGGCAACAGCCTGCCACATCCGCATCAGGTTGGGGAAGGAGTGCTGCCATGCGTCGTCACGAAGCATGTTCCCCAGCGCCTGGTGGAAGTCCTCGTCGTGGTGTTGTGAAAACATGGTAGACGTGAACATCCACAGCTCTTTCTGTGCTCTGGTGTAGTCAAATCCTAATGATCGGGAGTGGGAATTACGCAGGGTATACTTGCAGGAGGCGGGAGGGAGGGGGAATCTTAAACCAAACAATCAACAAGGCGCAGGGATGAGAGCACGAAGATACTATACATCAAAGCGCATGCGTACAGGTACTCAACAAACATGTTCGCAATCAAACCGAACATATACACACCTGGCAGTTTGTTGTTGAACAGTTTGTGCAGAGCAGCCAGCCACTTTTTGAAGCTCTCCACACGCTTTGCATCGTCTGGAACGTATGATGCTGAGCGAAACAGCTTCGACCCCTCCAGATGCTCCAGGTCCCTATCGATTCACGCACGAACTTCAACGACAGCTCGTAACACGTCGTAACGTCACCGGCCGTCTCGTGCCCTTTGATTTGCCTCTCGTGCAGCTCGTACTTGAAGGTCACGGGGTTGCCATCACTGTCCACGCCCTTAGCCATCACCTCCCGCTTGTCCATCTTCTGGTGGCGCTGAATGAAGTCGTTGAGGGTCATCTTTTCCCCGCTGCCAAAGTGATGAGATGGGGAACCGTTGAAATATCGGTTCTTCAACCACCATCGTTTCTGCTGCACCAGTTGCGCCACCAGAGTGATGTCGATCTGCAGAGTCAAAACAATTGAACGGGTAAGCGACATGTATAATCGATACACGTTGGAAAAGGAAAATAATTGAACGGGTATGTGCCAACCATACCTGCCTTTGCTGGAACCGCTGATTCAGAAAATTCAGCTCCCAAAGCACATCAGCAAGCAGACAAAGCATCCAGTGGAACTTGAATGAAGTCGCAATCTCGTACAGATCGGCGTTGTACTCGTGCAGCACCACAATGACCGCAGGTAGGATTTCGAGGAGGCGTCTAATTGCCTCTCCGCGTGACAGCTATCGAACTTCGTGAATGCCTCGAGCCTCGAGGTTGGTCTTGCAGAACACCTGCTGGATGTTCTGAAACTTGTCGTACTTCACGTTGGAACGGCCGATGAGGTGAGCGAAGCCACGGACGACATTGTCCACCATGAAGAGCTCTGGAACTGCTTCCGCTGCATTTTTGGCTGACAAAGCCTCACTGCAAATGTAAACAAGTAAGCAGCGTGAGAACGATAGAGGATAACAGAAACGAACATTACTAGCAAAAAGTCAGGTAACAACCTACCGATGTGCGACGCAGTGAGTTGAGGCAAGATGAGGAATCCGCATGCGCAGACGGGCGACAACACCGTTGTGCTTCCCCATCATCACATTCGCACTGTCCGTTGATACGGACGAGATCTTCTGAAGATCTACGCCAATCCCTGTCAAGTACTGCACCACAGCAGAAGTCAAAGACGCGGCATCAGCACGGTCAACAGTTATCAGCGTCAAAAACTCGTTCACCACTACGGTCCCACGGAAAAAAGTGGCGTAGAGGATGAGGTGTTTCCCGTTGACGCGCTCACTGCTTTCGTCGAGGGAAAGACCAATCCAGGGCGACTCCAGTGGATGCAACCGCTGCACTTCCTGCAGGTACGCAAAGATTTCCCTGAGGTTCTCTCTGAAGCCGTATCTGCAGACCACATGAACACCACACAACAGTTAGAACACGATTTGGTTACATCACGATCCACACTTCTAACAAACACGCGCTTACTCTGTGTAGTAGGCGCCATAGCCGCCACTGTTGGGGAGGTCGGGAAGACCTTCCTTCACCAAGAACCAGCAGAGCGGGATGAACATCGCGATTGGCGCATCCGCCTTGCAGACGAACAGAGCGATGTGCAGAACACGAATGATGTGCCTCGTCGACGCGTCGGTTGCCTGCCAGCGGGTGATGCTCTCTTGTTTCGCTTAGTCCGCTTCCACGTCCGCTTGGTTCTTCAAGGCGTTCTTGTGGGCTCGCGTCGCGGAATGGGCCCGGACGCTACCAATCTGGAGGTCGCGCCCACCCTCGCCCTTCGCACCGTAGCTAGTGTGAGCGGTGGGATCTCCATGCTGCACGCAAATGTCGCACTTCAACTTGGCAACACCGTTAGGCAACCTAAGGAGACCTAACCACTTGAATTTACCACGCCACTCAGACTTATAGCGATGCTTTATAGTGTCGTACATAACATCACCGGTTGTTTTTGGCGGCGCGTCATCTTCAGGATAAGCATCATGTTGCGGAGAGGGTACCTTCCGAGGAGGAGCTCCCCAGAGGCGCTGCTGCTTGTATTTCACAGCAACCCGTGGGCGTTTGACCGGCGTGCTGTTCACAGTAGACGGTGAATTCGCCGGTGGCCTGGACGACCCTTCCCCACCGCCTGGCACACGAATGATAGACGGGTGCAGCTCCCAGTCAGCCGACGTGGATGGCGGCTCGAACGGGTACACGGTGCCTACACTGCGCACTGGAGAAGCGGGACGTGGCAACGGTGAAATAGGCACGCTGTAGGACTCAGCCAGGCGGGGAAGAACACCCAGCACAGATGTGAGGATCTGGTTCAGGAAAGATGATTCTATTGAATGATTCACCTGGGTACAAGGCGAGGCTATATATAGGCTCGACACAAAGGCAGTAACCCGGGTGTTACTAGAAGGTTCCGCGGGTCGCGAAGCGTCCCGAACGGGTCCTTCCCGAATTCGGTAGAAGGCAATTTGGTGGCAACCGAAAAGCCTAGAATTCGGTGCACTCAACCTAGTTCGGTGCCTAAAACTATAATAATATAGTAAAAGCAACAAACCTAGGAAATCAAGCAAAAGCATGCAAGATAAAATAAAGCTAAGCTAGTAATAACATAATAAAGTCCAGGCAAGCTAGCAAAGCCAGCATAAGCCGTCGTACTCTCACACGTCCCCCCCTCAAAGCTGGGTGGCGTGAGAAACACCCTGCTTGACAAGATAGTCCTTGAGAGCATGGCGTGCGTTGCCCATATCAGCTTCTGCAACCCAACTGTCCTCCGATGGGTCATATCCCTTCCAGCGTATCAGGAACTCGAGCGTATTGCCGCGTCTGCGTCGATGAGCGAGAACTTTTTCCACCTCGTACTCTGGTTCATCCTGTATGAGAACAGGTGATGGTGGCGGTAGTTGTCGTCCCGTAAACTGCTGGTTGGGGTCCGTGTAGGATTTCACCAGCTGAACATGGAAAGCGTTATGAAGCTTCCAAGTAATAGGTAAGCGCAAGCGGAATGTAACTGGTGTCACCATCGCCTCAACGCGAAAGGGACCACAGAAGCGAGGCCGGAGCTTGGACGGAATGTGAGACAAGTCCAAGTTGCGTGTGTCGAGAAGCACCTGATCTCCGACTGCTACTGAGTGATCTCGTCGCTGGCGATCGGCATACTGCTTCTGGAAGTTCTGCATCGTGGTGAGATGTTGGTGAGTCTTCTCCCATAGCTGCTGCATGGTGGTGACGAAGTCGTGTGCGGCTTGGACGTGTGCCGGTGTGGTTGGCTGCTGTGGTGTGGGTGGTTTCCGTCCGTAGCACAGGAAGAATGGAGATTTCCCTGTGGCCGCATGCGACGCGTTATTGTAAGCGAACTCAAGTGTCGGTAACTGTGAATCCCAGTGGCTGACGTCGTCTTTGCAAGCTGTGTGCAGTAACTGTTCAACCACCTGATTGAGTCGCTCTGTCTGTCCGTCAGTCTGGGGGTGGTACGCTGAAGACATTGCAAGCTTTGTCCCCAACAATCCCATGAGTTCCCTCCAGAACTTACTAGTGAACTTAGGGTCTCTGTACGATATGAGTGTAGCGGGGATGCCGTGGATGGTGATGATGCGGTCGAAGAAGAGGCGAGCAGTTGCTTCAGCAGTAGCCGTGGCATTGGTCGGGATGAAGTGTCCCATTTTAGAGAACTTATCGATCACCACGAGTATAGCGTCATGCCCTCGTGAGGTCGAAGAAAGCCCAGTCATGAAGTCTAGGCTGACAAC